CTCAGTCCTCCCCAACTCGGGCTTCCAAGATGCATCTCCAAGCCACTCATTTCGGCTTTTGGCAGCGCCCGGACTTCGCTCGCTCGCCCCTGTTCTTCTTCTGGGGGTCTGGTCTTTTTGTTTAGCCTTTTATTTTGTTTTATTGTGTTTACCATTTTAGATGAATATTCCCTATTTATAGTCGTTTTATTTTTTTCGATATTACATAGTCATCTTATTTGCCTTGCTTTTAGATTCGAAAGTCTATCTATTTAACTTTAATTTATTATATATTATATTTAACTTCTCTTATTACCTACCGAGCATTTTACGCGTCATCTATTTATATTTACTTTTTCTTCAATATCTTTTATTTTATTTCAACTTGAGACTATTTTTTATCTTTTCTTTGGGTCTTTTTACAATATATGCTTTTAACCTGGAAGCTTAACTGGACTGTTTAATAAGTAGAAAAGATGTATGGTTCGTGACGTAGTTCGTGACGTCACGAACGTTATAAGTATTCCCAAAAATATACTCAGTCTGGACCAGAAACCCTACGTGTCATTACCCCCTGTGAGAGGCGGCCCCGCCCCCCGAAACGAAGAGTTAAGTCTGTGTTCTGACGTTTGTTTTTCTGAGGAGCTGGACGTGATCCTTTCTTTTTATTTTAGTGATATTACATCAAATATTCAACTTATCTTAATCATAGTATCATCATAATCAATTTTTCAATTTAAGCAATTAATGAAGTGATTAGTAACCTTCAGCACTTTGTTTTTCACGTGGAGATTCGTAAGGAATATTTTTATTCCGAGTCTTTTTGGCTTTGTACCTTTACTTCATTGAATGTTCGTCTTCACACTTAATGTAGGTGCTTTTGTTCGTTTTCTCTTATTGTTCTACTTAGTTTTCAATTACTGATGTGCTTTTCAGGTATGCATTTCAATTAGTGGCACCTTTTTAGTGATCTTTTTGTCAGCTTTTTCTTTGGTTCCTTTTATGGTGATTATCCCTTTAGACTGTGTTCATTGTCTTAACTACTTCAGTTTTCTTTTATTGCTTTTACTTATTTTACTCGTGTTTACTGTTTCGTTTACCCATTATTTTACTGTATAATAGTGCTTTTATTTTTCATTTTACAGGGTAGATTTGTTGTTGTTTATATCAAAAGCCTGGCACTCATTTTTTTCCGTTTTAATTTTTTTCAGCTTGTATTATGTTCTTAATTAATCGCCGGCTTTCCCAGTTAGATTTTATGGCTCACGTAGCGTAGGGACTCTGGTTTACCCTTCCTGTGTGTTTAACCTGCTCTACCCTGACAGCATTACTCTGATGTCCGATGTTGGCTTTTTACTCGGTGTTCGTGTCTGTCGTTTGTGGTCTTGCTGAGCGGTCGTGATTTTTGTTGTGGTTGCATTTTATCTGAGTGTAGAGTGTGGTTCCTGGCATGAATCGAGAACAAGAGAGACAGAAGCGGAACGAGAGGTTTCAGCGCCGATGGAACCTGCAGTCCAGCAGCCTCTCCCCATCAAGCATCATCCGATCTCCACCAGCTCCCCATAGTCACAGGAGGCTCTAATCCAGACGTACCTGAGGCAGCAAGGGTCATGGAAGCTGAAGTCTATATGTTCAGCCAAATCATGGAGTGGGTCAACACGCTAATCGCAGAGGTCCAAGGATGCAAAGAGGAAAATGACAGACTTGAGAACCGGCTCTAACTTCAAGAAGAAATGCTCAGCGAACAGAGGCAGCTTGAAGATCGTGTTGACCAACAGCAAGCTTTTGCTGCTCAGAGGGAAGAAGAGATCCAGCAGCCACACCGCCAACTCCACCAATAAAGAGCTGAACTGGAGGAAGCTTGTCACTCACAAAGTGTATGTGTTGCTGCATCTACAAACGCTGATCCACCTCACCAAGTATTGAAACGGATGAGATTAGTCAGCTCCGAAGATTACAAGAGCTTGAGAATGAAATGGCATGCTCACTTCTCTTCCACGTCTCCCCTCGTACTTCACAGGTTGGGGACACAATTTGCCCACGTCCTGTGCCTCCACAGCCTTGAACTCGCAGCTGACCTCAAACTCCAGAACCTGTGAACCGTCCTTTACCTCCTCAGCCGCTATCACAACAGAATAACTACCACACCAGTCTCTGCCTGAAAGGATTTCCTACCCATCACATCCGGGGGACCTCTCTACCAGGTGCTATAACTGTTCACCTGCAAATGGCCTCCATGCATCATGTTCCAGCAACCCGCCCGTGTCCTATGTCTTCACAAAGGAGAAGGTACCTCACTTTAAAAGAGATGTCTCAGCTTCCCAACCAATGAAGAGAAATCAGGAGATTGAGGGTTGGATCAGGGCAGTCGAGAGTATTGTCAAGCCACCTACATCCAAAGCATATATCCAGGCAGCCAGAGCCAACTTTAGAGCTCATCATAAACTCACTCTTGTCAATTGTTTGACAACATTAATGAGTGGGAAGCATTCAAGGCAGCTTTAAGAAAGTTCCGGAGCACCTACACCTCGGATTTCTATAAGGTGCTCTTTGAGAATCGAAAGCTGCCAGGCCAAGCACCCATGGACTATACTAGCAGCTTGAAGGGAGCATGTACCAAGGATACCGAGACCACCATGATGCCATAGGCGATCCTGCAGAGCTTGTGAGGAGGGTGTTCTTGAACTCTAGAAACACTAAGCCATTTTTTAAACACACCTAAATATCCAGTCAGGTCGCAGGGACCTGATAACAAAATCAATGCAAACAGAAGAGTTCAGACTCTCAGCTGCAAGATAGCACCACAGTGTACAGGGCACTCAGAATACGAGTGTCGACAAGGTTCACCATGTGATTTCTGTCATCAGAAAGGCCAAACAATGCAGGAGTGCTACCCCCCCCCCCAAAAAAAAAAAAATAATAATAATAATAATAATATTAATAAGAAAGACAACTGCAAATGTTCAGGAGTTTAGCTCTTGAGCAAGCATAACATAACACATGCTTGCAGTCTCTAGGCAGATATATTGCCCCTGCACACCACCCAAGCCATGTACCCCCCACAAGTACTTGGTATATTCACCCGCCACAGCTGTATACCCAGCAAATCTTCAGGCCAAAACCATCAAACGCCTGAAGCCATGCCACGCAGTATAACCCGGTAGCTCAACATATTGTCTGCTAATGTTCGTGGCTTACAGACTAACATCGGGAAGAAAAGGTATGAATGAGACTGGATATCACAAGACAAGAGATGTATTTGACCGGTTTTGATTACGTCTTCGTCAGAAATACATTTCATGTATTTCTGATGAAGACGTAATCGAAACCGGTCAAATACATTCATATATTTCTGATGAAGACGTAATCGAAACCGGTCAAATACATCTCTTATATTGTGAAGATATCTAGTCTTATTATGTTCACAATATAAAAGATGTATTTGACCGGTTTCGATTACGTCTCCATCAGAAATACATTTCAGTATGTCTGATGAAGACGTAATCGAATCAGGTCAAATACATCTCTTGTATTGTGAAGATTAGGTTATATACTGCATACATATTCCTGCAAGCAGATGATTCTTGTTGATCTCAATCATTAGCTGGTGGCCAGATCATGCAGCAACCTTCTGATGGTGCATGGCCTACAGAATCATGTTAATTTTTCTATACATAAATCTGGTTCTTCTTTGGATCCTGTGGTAACAGATTTTCCAGAAAATAAGGTCAGTTGTTAACCTTTGTTTTTTTGTGGGATCATCTGACCACATGGCTGTACTTAGTCATCAAAACTGATCAGCGTGACGAGGCAACAGATCGCACCATCTGGTTGTGGGACAAAGCAGATTTGCAGGGGCTATACTTCCCTGCAAGATATTAACTGTGAGCATAAACTTTCGGGGAACATTGATGGAGAAGCAGAGGCATTCACTAACATAAAAGTCTCTCTACAATCAATATATGTGCTGAACCGAACGTATAAAGCGAAAACTGGGGATCAACCCTGGTTTAGACCAAGTTCTAGAGATGCAGCCGACATCAAAAGTAGAGCCTGGCTACAATTTAAGCGTCATCCAAACCATATTAATAAAAGTATCTACAAAAGGGTCTGCAAACGTATGTCAGAAGTCCAGCGGTGGGTAAACAAGGAACAAGGCCTTTCCTCAGACCACACTATTCCACCTCTTGACAACCCCCACGGCACAACTGCTATCAAAAGCAAGAAGTAAAATTGGCATCCCATTTTTCAGGGAAAATGTGTGCCTGGCTCAAAACGGCTCCCCCAAAAATACTTTGGGAAACCAGTCATTGCTTCTCATACATCCAAGTAACACCAAAGTAAGGAAAATGTTATTTACACTAGAAGTCAATAAAGCAACAGGTGCTGATAATATTTGTCCCCGCACACTCAAACACTGTGCTGAACAGCTGGCAGCACCTCTTGCAAGACTTTTCCAGACTTGCATCTTATGTCATCTCGTGTCTGGAAACACGCCAGAGTGGTGACCATTCACAAGAAGAAAAAGAGGACCTTGCCAGAAAACTACAGACCTGTTTCATTGCTCTCTGTAGTTGCAAGAATTTTAGAGAAAATAATAATATATATGATCTCTTTTTTAAAGCTTCATAATCTATCAAGCATGCATCAGTTTGGCTTTAGATCAAATAGGTCAGCCTCTGATTTGCTTCTGACAATGACTACTAAGTGGGACAAGGCACTTGACAGGGGTACTGACACACATCATAGCCCTCGATATTGCTGGTACCTTCGACCGCGTGTGGCACCGCGGATTGACCGCCAACTTGATTCCCTTAAGGGAAGGAGTTTTCATGTTGTGTTGAATGATCATTCCTCTACATTCTATAAAAACTTGTGTACCACAAGGAAGTGTGTTGGGACTTCTCTTATGAAACTTTTGTTTTAACAACATTTTACAACTCATACTGCAAACGCGAGCATATGCCGACGATTGTACTCTGACGTTCACTTGTAAATAGGAACAGCAGGCTGAGAGAAAT